GTATTTAGACTAAACAGAAGCACAAATTTTGATCAAAATATCTATTTTAATATTTTAGATTCTTTCATGTTTTAATTATAACATTTGTATGTACAGTATATGGCAATTAGCATCTATCAACAGAATTAATATATCTCTATCTCAACTAATTTTTAAAGTTGTACGTGAATTTTTTTATTCTCGGTAACATTTATTAATTAATGAATTAATTAGTTTGTGTTATAAGATATATGACATTTTATTCTTGTTATAATATTTAGATAAAATAAATAAATTAATGTTTTGGGTAATATTTTATACCAAATGATATCAATTAAAAATATTTACGACTATGTTGTGATAACATGAACATTATATGTGATATATTGTAACAAAACTGAATATAATATTACATTATAACATTATATTATTATCATTACTTAAGCTAATATTTTGTTTTTAATTATGGATTACAAATCAAAGTTCCCTAACTGAATACCAAATTCATATATAATATAATAAAATTCTTAAATGAGGTTTTATAATAATATTACAAATAGTTTTACAATACCATATATGTGATATAAAAATTAATACTACTGGAAGATTATGACTTTAATCCAACAATGTTTTAATTGGCAATTAAGAAAATTATTATAATATCCAATTTTATTCTACATTAACTTTATGCCACATTTATAACCTTTGTCTAAAAATAAATTTATATTAGTTTGAGCTAAAATTATTAAATGGTGTTTGCATAATTGAATTAATGCTATTCTGACATTTAGCTATTAATTTTAACATTGGAGTCATTGATAGTAATAAAAGCATTCAAATATTTTAAATTATCAAATATTTAAACTTATTGCTGTTATGGTTAACACTTTTGGTGTTTGTTGTAAAACTTGTGATCAACAAAACTAATAGCTTAAGAATTTTGTGTACAAACTATTCATTACAGCGGATATTGTTTTTGGTTTAATTGAAATGCAATGTAATTGCCGAGCGAATGGAAAAACAATAAACAGATCACAGAAAATGAATTAAAAAGATTAGTTAAATAAAGCAATAAATGATAAAACAATTATTTGTTTGTGTAGACATCATATTAAAAATTTCAATCCATTTATTCTCCAGAAAGCATAATATGGTTTGTTTTTGCATTAGATTTCTATTTATAGTTATCCTATTTGTTATACAAATATAAAAGGTTTTTGGTAAAAAATATTGAATACTTTAGTTTACATTAAAAAACAAATTTAAAGCAAATTTAAAACAAATTCAATTAAATCCTTAAAATAATCATTGATTACTAAAACTAAAATCATTGACATTTGACTATAAAGTCAAAGTTAAAGTTTACACTGAAATGTTTCAAATCATTGATTACTATTTATATTAAATAGTAATGTCTCGGAAACTAGAAAAATGACATACATTACAAATAATGGGCAAATACTTTATCAATGATATGACAAATAAATACACTTTATTGTCATATTAATTATAGCGAAAACAATATCAATTAAAGTGAAAATATATAAAAATTTTATTTATTTATTAATAAATTTCTATCAATATTATCAGTAATTTTGGCGAAAGAGCTCATCCAATGGTACGGAAGGGTCGACCACTGCTGAGGGCGCGAACATTACCCGCAATCATAACGCCCTCATTGAACATAATTCAGGCACAACTCGAGCCCATTAGTGATCAACAGTCCATTGCCATCGCAGGTGAGTCTATGGCCATACGTAACACACAAACCATGCAAACATTCACCACATATTAATATATCATTCAAATACACGATACAAACGATACCCCATATTATCTATTGTATCATTATTTTGATAATTCTTTGCTCTCGACTCAAACAAATACAGTATATTTCGTGTCACGAATTAATCGCTCAATGTTTCAATACTTACTCTCGTTTTTTCCGTATAAATGTTTTTATCGATTTTACTATAAGTTATAGCATTTTGAGTCCCATTTAGATCGCTAAAAATGGGTCTTTTTTAAATAAATTCCCATTAAAATAGGTTTTCAATTTCTACTTTCTCTCTCGATATCGTTGATAAAAGGCTACCTAAGTATTTGTCATTTAAACTCATTTGTGTCCACATAAAAGTCCAACAATCGGCGTCCATTGAAAAAAAAATCGCCGACACTTAGCATTCACTCTTCATTTTTTGTGACACAATCTTGCTTTAAATTATTTGAATTGATTTTAAATCACTTTATTTACTTTAAGCCGAATTTTCATACCTATTGTATCGCAAGAGAAATGTCAATACAATTGTAATACTAATAAAATGATGACTTCTTTTCACTCAAAAACATTTCGTTTCGGAATACATGAGAGACTCTCTTCTCTTTTCACTGCAATTCCTAATTCTTTTCACATTTTTATTATATATTATATAAACTCCGAGTTTTTTAGAGATTTCTTTTTTGCTATGTATTTATAGCATAAGAATAGGATTTGTTGTGTCGACTCTTATTATTCTCAATAATGTTTATATAAAAGTATGGTATAATAAATTGCAGTGAAATATAGCGCTCAACTCGTAGTTATAATATAATAGGTTATACAATATATTGTATGCACTCAACAGTTAAGGAATCGTTATCTCATGTAAAACATTATCTCAACACAAGGAATAGAGTAAACCGACTGAATCTATATATCAAAACCTCATATAACAATAAATATGAAATTATTTTTTGGTCACTTGTTAATCTTAGAGTTCATATTCAGTTCCCTAATCGTGAGATTATATCAATATTTGTATTATAAAAGCTATAAAATGTTATTTAGAAAGGATTACATTAAGTCTTGCCATTACGCCTACAGTTAATATTTTTAACCCAATATAAATGAATATTATATTTAATTACTAAGAAACATTATATAATAACTTATATTATAATGAGTTTTAAATTTTTGAGTATAAATAAAATGCCGAAGAATTATTTATTTATTGCTAAGTTTTTGTTGCTACAAATAAAATATCAGTTATTTACATCACATTGTGTGTACTTTATTGAATATGTTTATTAGTATTGCACAACAAACAATACTTAATTATATTTATAGGACATATTTCAATGCCTTATTAAATATGATTATATGATACATATTGTTTTAAGCTTTTATACTTTATTTAAATTATTAAAAAAGTTACACAATACTTTGCTGAATACTGTTTACTAGTTAGTCAATACTCATTTATCAGTAATTCTCTTTATAAAGCAGCTTTCCAAGCACAGGTAGTTTATGCCAGTAATATATATTTTAGTATAATATTATATACCGGTATATATAATTGACTGTACGGTATAATCATAATTCACGAATTATAAGAAATAATGACATAAAGAATGGAAAGAATAAAAATGAGTTTTTGCAAGTATAATGCATTGAAAACACTTGATTCACATTTAATATAATGTATAACTGTTTGATGAGTTTTGTATAACAAAAAGGGACTTATAAATAAAGCTACTTTTGATTAGAAATTAAAATAAATATTTATTCTCTCATCCAAACTAACAGCAGATCTGCCTTCAAATGAAATGAAAAGTCAATACCTTCTCCATGAGCCACACTATAGTGAGTTCACTATAACATACCATTCGATGCATATGTCATGCATTTTATGACAAATTCTTTCACATACTTATACACAGAATATAGTCTTTCGGTGGGAGATAACGACAGCTTATTATCGAAATCTCCGGGTATATCGCCGCGACATAGCGTTTCATCGACCAGTTCCACCGGTTCCACATCCAAAGACACCATCAATAAGTAAGTGAATGCCAATTTGAAACACATATAAAAACAACAAAACCCCTAAATTCGTGTCATTTATCTCTTGTCAATGTTTTAATCAGAAAAAGCGTGAGTTTTGCAAAACTCACAAAATTACTATCGACTCAACCCAAGGATAAGTTCACTAATTTGAAGCCAATTCCGAGCCATCAGTTCGCTAACGATAACACCGCTGATGTGTAAGTCGTTTAGTTGGTTGTGACAATGATTTTCACTATTTGCCTAATACTTTATTATTTGCAACTGTTTTAACGCTTTTATTGCTCACGAAATACCCAAAAAACTGCTTCTTTTGGTCATTTGTTTTCTTACGGTCTGACAAAAAAAGTTCGTGTTTTTCATGGAATAGCAGAGGAGTGGGCAGTAAAGTGAAGAGAAGTGGAAGTGTTGACAGTCTTATAGACGCACAGCAGCAGCAACTGAACGCCAACAAGAATGACATCAATATCTCATCGATGGCCCCGTATTTCGCCGCCAATCACAAGACGAGTCAGTCGGCGGCCAACAAACGCGAGCGAACCCTCGGCGCCACGTTTTCGCCCCGATTTAGGGGACATTTGCCGCTCAGCTCCACCTCATCCGTGCAGCTCATGGATGCGGACCAGTATGTGCCCCCATCTCCAAGTGCTTCTTATCGCATCACCAAAGCTCTTCCAGGTATGCAAAACCGGCGCTCAAATCAATTCAATCACTTTTTTGCAATGAATAGCAATACCCTTTTGAATAAACTTTATTATTGCGCTTATTATTAGTATTTTAAAATAAATAGTTAAACACTAAATTAGAAAATTGCATAAAAAACAAAACTAAGACTGAATAGCGAGCAGAAGTTTATTGAAAAATTGTCTATAATTTATGGCTTTAAATGAGTTGAAAATTTACATTAAATTTACTTATGATTAATTGGTTTTGACTAAATAAATTGAGTGCCTCATAGATATTGAGAAATTCCGAACCCTTTTGCTGACTATAAATTATAATATTTAGCAATTGTTAGCAATATTAGTGCCAGTACAATAATCTCTATTTAGAGCAGTGCTCTATTTTAATCGCAAAAATATATATCAACGGAATATTGTTTTTAAAACATATGCTTTTTGTCAAAAATATTTGCATAAATCTTCAAAAACAATCTGTTCTTTATGTGTACCGTATTTGTAGTGAAAAATCTCTGTTTTGCGTCAAAAGATTGTTTTCAAAACAATTTTAGGAAAAATAGCATGAAATGAATGGACATTAAGTAATATAATAGAATATTCTTTAAATTAATGCAAACAGAAACACAGTTGATTAAATCACTATAACAATTGTTTAAAAATTTTAAGTAAATGTGTACCCACTACGCCCACTACATGTTTGTAGAAAATGTTTATTATTTACAACAAGTGATAGCAGAAAATTAATAATAAATCCTAATTTATTAATAATATATTAGTTTACGTCTTATACGATAGTTAATGACTTGTTGGGGTTGTTATTATGAAAATAATGAAATATTTTTATGTCAAGTACTTTTACCAAATGCTTTATCTTAAAAAATTGGATTTGAAATACATATATAATTAATTATAATCTTTTATAACAAAAATCTTTCAAATAAAACCAACATTGAATTCAATGAACACCTAACAGAATATAACTTATTTGTTATTATTGTTGAATTGATGGACATGTAGGTCGACGACAGGCCAGTATCGACGTGTTTGTGCCCGAAAGTGTACCCTTTATGACAAAATCGGAAAGAAAGAAATTGGAGAAATACAACAAATTTAATTTCGACTTACAAGGTATCGGATTATATTATTTTGAGATACAGAGAGACACACAGACTGACAGACACTCACAACGTCTAACATTTGTGAACGTATTTCTGACTCTATCTAAATGAGAGATGGAGTGAAATAAATTGCAAACTCCTGTTCCCCGGGATTTTATGCTTCACAAACAAAGTAGAGACTAATATTTATATTCATATACGAAATACTTTAGAGAATTGAAGGATTAGTAAACATTGAATATATATTTGCGCTTAAATCTTAAAGTTTTTATACAAATATGGGTTTCCTTTGATGTTTGAATAGATGTTAATAAAACATATTTGTTTCATTAGAATTGTCACGAATTTCATTAAATATTCCAAAAATAATGATTAGAATAATAATAATAATGTTTTCAAATATTGAATTTTAAAAATAGGTATTAATTTAAATGTGTATTATATGTTCAAAAACAGAATTTTGTCAAATGATAGAATTTGAATAGAATATAAATAAATAATAAAAATTCCTCCATAGAGTAGCTGACAAATATGATAGATAATTTACAGCATGAATCTATTTATATCCCTACAATTATAAAACATCAAAACATTTGGTTAATTGAAATGAAAGTGAAGTAAAAATAAAACATCAATTAGTTTTTCCATATAACTTATATCTAAATTTATGTTTCTGTTCAATGAGTCTCTATTCCACAATAACTTTATACTATAGTATTCATATAAAATTTATAGTATAAATAGTAATTTTTAATGAAATTGGATGATTTTGAGACCTTAAACAAGAATACACCGTAAAATGATTACTAATATATTATTAATACTTGTTTAGCCATGTTTTCTGCGGTCGAAAACGAACAGTTAGAGAGGGCTCGTATGATCATAGAGTCGACAAATGTTGACATTAATAGGTATTCAAAATATAAATTTTTTTATTTATTTATAAATATACTATTAATATAAAAAAATATATACTTACCAAATAAAATATGCTTGCATCAATCGCTATAATAGCTGCAATTCTGATGGGTTCAGTCCATTGGATATCGCAGTCATGACATTAAACATACCATTAATCAAATTACTACAAAGTTATGGCAGTACGGAGAACACTAACTGTGAGTTATAATCATTGACTCAATTATTACTATTATGTATGTTTTGGACAATAATTTAAAAACTTTATTCTGATATCCAAATAAACAAACAAAAAAACACTACAAATGGATGCGAAGTCGCGACAAAAGAGAGCCGAGAGAATCAGTTGATTAGTTTACTCAAAGAAGCGGAACGAAGTGTAATGGATCTCAATTTGACTGTCTTTGCGGTCCTACCCAACGGTGGTCTCAGCGCCGCACTCCTCAAAGTAATGCCCCTATAATTAGTGTCCATAGCTATGGATATATACAGTATATATATATATCATATCATAAGTATTTCTATAATTTAATTTCAGGAAAAGGAGCGACAGTTGTGTTTATGGGAGCGAAGGCTTAAGCTCTTACAGCGTATGAAAGTGGGTTTCGAGCGGTTAGGTATGGCCTCAAAACCTTTTGCATCGCATCCCCTAATCATATCATATCGTATAAACTCAATGATATTATCCTTGATTGCGATGGTCCAGAGCCCCCGGAATCGCCCACATCTGTGCAGTTGGAAGTGGTGGGCAATGATTGTCTTCGATTACGATTCAGTGGACCCGTTGCCGCCAATGAGAAGAAGTGCATTGTCACCAAATATAAGGGTATTATACTGTCTATACTGTACACTGTATTACATTTGTATTGCATTTGTTTGCTCTAATATACCGATCACTCATGTATTGACCCATTCATTGAGGCGATCAATACATGGCATAACTCACTGTACAAACGCTTTGCCTATATTTTAATCTCAAATTCTGTGAATTCTGGAGTAAAATCAAATGAAAATTTAAGTTTCTGATGAAATCGATTTTTTATTCACTATTTTCACAATTAGTTAAGTTTGGTAAATATTTGTTTATTTTAGTCAAACATTTATTATTATGGAGTTTTGAATTGCATTACTCTTAAAATCAAATGATTTTCTGAAAGATTAGGATTCAATGCACTTTTCATTGTGTATTAATACCTAATATTTGATATTTTCTTTTCAAAGCCCTTGTCATACAATGTTTGCACAAATGGGACAATAAATGATCGATAATTAATTGTCTCACAAATAGATAAATTGAATGCAACTCTAAAGCAAACAATTGCCAAACAATAATACTTTAGTTGTGTCCAAAACTTATCAAAAGTAATCCCCAATCGTATGATAAATAATTGAAAATTTTTGGGCTTTTGCGGGAAAGTGCCCTTTCAGTCATCATTAAAAAAATATTTATTTTTTCAACATATTATTAATTTTTAATGTGTTATATGCTTAAACTCATAGCTATTTTTCTGATTAAAAAAGCCGATAAAATTAATTGAAAAATATTAATTAATTATTAAATGCCTATATAAATAATTAATTAGTTGTATAAAATCCAGAAATCTTAAATACAATATGAACTAATCAGTATTTAATATTAGAAATCATATTAATCATTAAAACAGAGGATTTGAGAATTATTTGCGCAAAAGTCGTGTGAAATGACATTTGTTTAGAATATCCTATCAATCAATCACTTTAAAGAAAATAAACTCAAGTCTTATTTCAGAAATAATAATATATTTGGGACATAAAAAATGTATGTCTCCATGTAGTGATCGATTCTGACCTTTATTTCCATTGTATGTTCACGAGTTAAACCACAGATTTGTTTGGTGTGTTTCAATCAATAAACCATTTTTTCGTCAATAATTTTGTAGCAACAAAAAAGGTTGTGTCGGAATCTGTATTTAGACATAAATGTCTTAAATATTGATTCTTAAGATACTTTATGACTAAATCGAAAACTCTTTTATTAGAAAAATTTTTGTCCAAAATAATAATTTAACGGAAAATTGTTTCCATGAAAAACCTTTGCATTGTTTTTAATAAGAAATTTTTATTTCCCATCAGAAATCTTATCGTTAGAAAAAGTTTTCCAATAATTATTACTTTGTTTTCTCGTCAATAATTTATAAAAGATTTCTTTTCGTTTTTAAAAAATAGTCACTTTTTATTAATACTTTGATATTTAACTTAACTTATAGCGCGTATAATGTGTTACACAATATAACTTAACTATAATATAGAAAATGATTGCATGGAAAGGGAGACCTGAAAATTAAGAATTCCATACCATATGTTCTCTTTACTGTAATATTATCTAAGAATTGGTTATTAAGTTATTGTGAATTTTTTTGAGTAAAACTGCATTTATTATCATTGCTTTCTTATATCTAGACATTATTACGAGAGCCAAATGTTTTCAAATATGAAACATAACTTTTGAATCAATAGTTTAGTAAATGTAATGAAAAGGTTAGCTATCATTAAACTCCGTAAAGTAGAGGACTTTTATTGAGTAATTCATTGCAATCAAAAGTAATTCTTATGGGATTTGATAAAACTTTTGATTAACGATAGGATATTCACGACTTAAGACTTACTCTACTTTTATATTATATATATCTTATGTTTATGTCTGTGTCCATGGTTTGAATGGGAATCTAATTTGATATTTGATTGATTGTTGAAAGTTTTGCATTAAATTGTTTCCTAAACATCAATCAATTTTTATGTTGTAATGAATTAAACCGAACGAAGCGTTTGGCCATAAATTATTCATCAGTTGATTCAACATTTACACAGAAATTTGCAATAATTAGTGAACAAATATTATACACTTTATAAATTGTTAACAATCTCATGAATATTCTATGCATTCTTATGGCTTATATGTAATTGCAGTCGAATGGAGTGAAACCAATTTCATCACAATTGATGGCACACTAGACATAACAGATCCACAGAAAATGGAAGTCATTATCGATGGCCTACGGAGTGGTCAGCAGTACTTTGTCAGAGTGTCGGCTGGCAATTGCAAAGGCTTTTCCATCGACTCCTACCCCTCACCTAATAGTGGCATACCGTCGAGTGAGTACTTATACCTCGTGTTAATGGCATTCATTACTTAATACCCACTATTTGTCAAAACACATCCACACTATGTTTCGTTTCATTACTTATTATATAATAACATTTATTGATATATTTGTCATCACTTTGTGTCACTATATTAAGGCTGGCGTGACGTCGACGACAAGCCTTCACCTAATTTTGATAATCTCTTAAAACTGGACCAACTCTTCCAGCAGATGATCGATTGCAGACCAGACACTTGGGCTGAAGTCAAAGGTCTGTAGCTTTTCCATCTAAATATCATTCGTTTCGTTTGATTGATGGCAACCATATGTTTATATTCTGTGTGAATACATATATATTGCGGTTATAGTGATATCAGTGGAGAGTGAGAACCCGTATCAACGCAAAGGACAGGTCCGCAAAAGTATCAAAAACCTCTTCGGCTCGAACCCTAAGTTCCAGAAAGTCATGAAAAGAGGCATTTATTTGGCGTGTCTTCTCTACAATGACGACAGAGTCCTCGTAACCAATGATGAGATACTTCCGATCGTCGAAATTGGTATATGTTTTGACAAAAAAATTTGTTTATATTATGTGTTTATCTCGTTTTTTGCTCTTCAATTGTATTATTCGATACAAAAAATTTATTTTCTATGTTAACATTACGTTCATTGAGTTGAATGAGTCTGAATTGTGAAAGCACTTTAGATTTGTTATATGGTTTTTGGTAAATATTTATCATAAATCACGAAACTGTTTCTCATTCAACAAAATTTATTTAAAGAAATATAATATTGATTACAGATTTCGATCTGTTATATGAATGAATGGTTTTTAAATAAAAAATTTCATAAATATTTACAATCTTTTTCAAATTGTAAAGCGATTTATTAGTTTTCGCTGATATTCAGTGTCGGTAATCCATAACTCGACCGATAAATCAAATTTTTTCTACAGTATGTGCTTTATTTGATTTATATTTTTAAATATAAAATCGACTACTTTTTAAAATTCAATCAAACATTTCGTTTATTGACTCAGAATTTCATCCAAAGCAACGGAACTCAAGTATCTGTAGTATTGACACATTAGTGGCACATATTTTTTTACAACCAGTAAATGGCATTGAATTTAAGCTAAATATAAGTTGAAATTCTGCAGATTATAAGCCGACGGAGGAGTATCTCAATACAGAAATATAATAATCCGGCTGTAGTTGTGGTCGTAGTCTTAAACACAAATATATTTTACTGTAATCACAGAACCTTTCATTATAAGTGTTTACTACTTTAGTCATGTTTTGCAATAACTTGTTTAACTTTTTTGTATTAAAGAATATTCTTTTGTATCTAAATTACTCATTTTAAAACCAATGCTTGTTTATACGGAATTCCCATTAAATGTATTAACTTAACTATATTTATCTTAATTTGTAATTTAATTAAATTAGTGATTTTGCTTTAATCAAAATTGATTACAAATTGTATGCCTTTATTACAATTCGTTTATTTTTTAAATGACTGTCTCAGACATAGAATCAATAGCTATCATAATCACTTCTCATATGTGTTTAAGTTTGTCTTAAATGTGTTTACAGATAAATACAATTTTTTAACGATTCAGTTTTTTAACACACTTTTTGACTTAAGTCTATGGTATAAGAAGTCTAACGTTTCTTATATTAAAGACATTTCGTCTTTATTGTATTCTTAAAACCAAATTGCTATAAAACTAACGAAACGAGCCATAAATATATTTCTAATTCAATAACAAATATAAATTTTTGTAAAAGGAATAACTCAATAAATTCTTAGTTAAAAAAATAATTATAGAAGATTTATAGAAAAATTAATTTGTTTTCAGTCAACAAATTATATAATTTGCCGATTTTCTGACTTTCCTAAAACTCAAACTATCAATAGATGTGATGTATTTGCGATGAGTCGTGAACTCTACTTATTTGTCTCATATGAAGGAATCGATGAATGAAAGCATTTATTGATTTGAAGTCTACTAGAAATGCATTATTTATAAAATTAAGGCTATATTTAGGGGACACACAAACAATACATCGGAAACGTCTACCACTGAATAGCGTATTGAGTAATTAGATTGTATTGACAGATGATGTGTACCCGTCATCGCTGCAAACGGACTTCCATTGGGTGCTTAAGATTTCGTGCACGTGGGAGGACGTGAAGGCGCTGCGCCGGGAGCTCGACAAAAGCCAGAGCTCGTCGGTCGCCCACTTCCGCAGCAAAATACTGGCCGCCGTCGAGACGATGCAGACCTTCCTCGGGATGCAGGACTTGGGCCGACTCTTCTACAAACCCATGAAAGACAGCGACGGCACGACCGTCTTGTGTACCATTAAACGCATGGTCGACGTGAAGAGCATGAACTGGCTGTCGCTGCGGTGGATGCCAATCGCCAAACTCCAGAGAAAACTTCTTAATTTAAACGCCAACTCAACACAACTCGAGCCAAGCGAACCGTCACTTAATTGTGCACTTATTGGAGATTTACTGCATTCCTCTTTACAGGTGAGCCCTTCCACTAGCCTTTCCGATACACTGTCTCTCTGTATGTGTTTGCGTTGAATGAGTGCACGGATTCTTGCACTCAATTCTCTGCGTTCTCTCTCTCTCTCTCTCTCTCTCTGAAAATTGTGTACAAAAACTCAATCGATTGAACCGTGTGTTTGAGCGCAGGAAATGACATGTTATCACAAGGCATGTAATAACCCACTGCCCCGCGGCCTATATCTGGGATTTGTCAAACTCAAGACGTCCGTCGAGTTGATGAGTATACTGGTGCCACAGCACAGCCCTAACGTCATGCCTCACATCAAAGTGCGAGAGAATCCGCACGTTTCGCGAGAGGAGTGGAACTGTCTGAAGGACTGTGTCAACCCAAACGAGCTTAAAATCATCATTAGTTGCCATTCGAGTCAATTAAAGTTCCTGCAGTTGATCACAAAGTCGGCTAATGTTTTGCTGAACTCTATCAAAACGCCGGAGAATGAGATCTCTTTACACCGGATATACGACATCGAAGTCATAGAACTGAGTCCTGACGTGTCATTCATACTACTGTTGCCGCCCGTCGAGAGTGTCTGCTCTATATTCAGTCAAAACGATGAAATGCCCCTCAATTACAATCTCAGTTACCTTCCCCTCAGGACTTTCGAAATGAGTGAGACTTTTGACTCAATCTATAAGTTCTTTTCATTAACATATAATTTCTCTTTTTTAAGTCAATTTAAGTACATATCAACAAACATTTATATCACGGTATTCAAGAATATCAGCGATTCTTGAAATGGATATTCTGGTGGCGCAACAGGAGCACAGGGAAGTCAGTCATTATATTTATCAATGTTCATTATTTATTAATAATAAGACTGAAAGTTGAGATTTTCTTTGACTAATACTTATTAACTTTTATTTTGTATTTATTTGACTGTATATTAAGGCGTTTTCATCTAATGAGGTCTCGACCACCAAAACCCGATTGACTCAACTCCAAGAGTTTCAGATAGTATTAGACGAGTTGTGGCGCTCCAAGAGATGGATTATGGATGTCGTGACCTTTGCCAGAGACAAGCAATCCGTTTACGGCATCTCTTTGGATAATATCACTCATTCTCTGACGAACAGCAATGTCTTACTCGAGGAGGAGACCATGTTTCAGATACCGACCATTAATCTCAGCTCTTCGACCATCAATTCTCCGGTGTCGAGCCCACCCCCACACCCGACCAGTCGACGGCCCAGTCGTGACGACTCCGCGATCGATACGAACTTCTTCTCCAATCAGTTGCGGATCAATACATCCACGTCTTCGTACTCACTCATAGATTCGCTGTATTTCATGAATTCTGACTACAAATCCGAGACATTTAGTCCCAAAAATTGTGATGATATGCGTCGGTGTGTGTCGGCCTCTAAACTGGCGAACGGTTCCGTTCACACGAGAAGCGAAAGCGGAAACTCTAACCAATGGATTAATCCGCTGAATCCCATTGTCTTATTGGATGAGAGCTTTAGGAGTTTGAAATCTCAGACAAACGCAGCCATACATGAGAGCGAATGCGAATCAGATATGGATGTCAGCCATGAGTCCAAACGCAAAGCCTTTCGTCCATTCGTTTTGTCCAGCATTTCGAGTGCAGACTCTTCTGACTCTTTGAGTCAATGGCCGCCGAAGAAAGACAACGAATCACACGAATGCCAACCGCCGGACAACTCCCACACGATTCCACTCAATATGAATCAAAATTGTGATAATTTTTTAGACAAAAGTTTTGTAATTCGCGTTTACGCCGCCTATGACTGCGGACTACCCTATGGGACGAGTGTCAAGCTCCAGGTGACGGTCGACACCACCGTCCGGGAGATCATCGAATTGGTGGTCAAACACCTGAATGCCACGGTTTTGGTGAAAGGCCACAACTCTCCCATCTATGACACGAACCAAATGAACAGATTCTGCATAATAGCCGTCTATTCCTCGCTTCACTTCGTGAACTTGTTGCTGAAGTTTCACGACTTGGAGGTCTGCGGCACCTTAGCTCGGTACGAAACGTAATTCTAATTCCTTCTGATAGTCACTAGTAGCCTAGGTCACTAGCCGGTTATGTTACACACATAACTTAAAAACCCATATTTTAACAAAACTTTTTTTGTTATTTATTCAAATATAATTTTTCTAGAATCGAAATGTAATTTATTATTATTTATTTATTTATAAAAGAAAATTAATTAAAATTTTTTAATGAAATGTAAAGAATCGAGAATTTATTGATCGATGAGTGACTCGTTTTGCTATCAAATTATATCTATTTTTAAATCTAAACTTTAATTAAAATGTAGAAAATTGGTGGGAATGGACCCAATTTGTCAATTCAGTGGTAATTCTTCAGTGCACTCATACTGTAGATAGGAATCAGGAATCCCTGCGCTATCATATTCTAGCACAATGAGCAAGGTGGTGGTGGTGTCATAAATCAATGATTGTATCAATAAGTGGTGAACACATTTGCATATCAATGTGCAGGATGTGAGCGTTTGGGTGATAGTGAGCCCTATCTGACCTATCATAGCGTCTATACACACTTACTATACACCCAATTCGTGTCCTTATCACCGATAAGAACACAATATATTAGCTATCCGTAAACTTACCGTAAATTTACATCTCGATTACACACCAATCTCAGGACGCACTCATCGCAACACCCATTCATACAACACATCAATGTTTACGTCATTTCGCTATTGCTTTGCATTCAGTCTATGAACCACTCGTTTGTCACCACAACTGATCCCATACGACACGCGCATCTGTGGTCACTGTCCGTCACAATCGTATCGATTGACACGAGTTTTGTCGCAATCGACGCAATCGTCTCATAAAGTGTCCAAATATTTGCTAATAATTTGAATGAATGCTATGTTTGTGACACTTGGGAACCAATTGATGACAATTGTATGCAATGGTTGTCACTCATGGATCAGTTACACGGATGTGAGCACCAGTGATGGGCGCATGTTATTCAGGTCAGGCCTCTAAGTCTTGTCCGACAGCCACAACGCAAACGCCAATCGACCCGAAGAGCAGATCCTTTGAGTACCACAACCGCAGCGCCGAAGACGCCAACCATTGCCGACAACTATCGCGAAGTACCGAAAACCAGTCGTTCGCTCAACAGTAGCTGGCTTTCCGGCTGTTTGAGGTCTACAGAAGCGTTGGCTTAGCGGTTTTTTATGGCTAGGGAAGCAGGTTTGACCACCGGTTGGTAGCTCACCAAGGGTTCTCACCACGGCTGCTGATACACTTCAATAAGTATCAGCAGAGCCGCAGGTATGAGGCGGCCGTCGACGCGAACAAAGTGATGATATTCGACAACTCGAGCACCACTTCCATCAGCTCTGACTGCAGTATTAATCTGTCGAAGTCCTCGAAGTCCACCTCATCCTCGGCGTCAACTGCGGGTCGACTCCACGGATCGATTCCCAAGCCGGCGGTCACGTCGCGAACGCCGACCCCTCCCATCCCCTCCAAGTACGGCCCGACCGCCAGGAAAGGCATACAAACGCAACACAAATATAGCGACAAAACCAATAAATTAGCGCAAAATCAAAACCACAGTTCACTCATCAGTGATCGTCTCAATGGCAACGATATCACGAGAGGTGACACGAAGGCCGTGAAGACTAAGAGCAGTATTTCCAGTGAATTGAATTCAAGCAAAACCAACATTAATAACAATAATGGTGTGACGGGTGGGCCGCCCACGTATGGCACGAGTATTAAGTATACGACACAAGTGTCGGGTCTTCCGCGACCGCAAACGGCACACATTGTCTC